CTTAGCTCTTCAGCTCTAGGCTAGCACTTGAGCCACAGCACCACTTCCGGCTTTTTCTGCTTATGTGGAATGGAACGCAGGGCCTCATGCATGCAAGGCAAGCACTCTACCACTAAGCCACATTCCCAGTCCCTCCAGATACTCTTATCTCCAATAAACCACCAGAAAACTGGAAATGGCGCTGTGGCTCAAGTCATAGCGTGTTTGACTTGAACTAAAGAGCTGAGGGACAGTGCCCAGGCCCAGAGTTCAAGCCGCACAACTGACCAAAAGAAAAAAGAGAGAGAGAGAGAGAGAGACTAGAGAGTAAGCTAGCAGATAAGATGAGGTATTAATACCTGCAGTCCAGGTAGGTCCTGTGGTAGACTGAGATGAAGAAGGTCCCACCATAATCCAAAGAGGGCCACCTCAGGCTGTGGGCTCCGAGCGAGAAGAGCAGGGCTAACTGTAGCCCATTCATCTAAAGAACTCCTTAAAGGATCCTGACACATTTCAATAGATCCAGAGCTTCCTTAGGGAGGAAGACTCAGGAGAAATATCATCCCACCTCTCCCTGACCCTGCTCTGGCTCAGGCTCCTTGAGCATTGGTGTCTATTTTCCTAATGTACACGAGGGAAAGGCATAGCATTTTTGTAGATCAATGGGAGAAATATCTGCAGGCTGGTTATTCCTATCACCTTTGTCTTTGCCAGCAAGACTGATCGGGCTAGAAAAGGAGGTACACAGCAGGAAGATGTCTGGGTATGGAAGCAGCTGTTCTTTGGGTTGACTAGGATGGGAGGACAGTCTGATCTTTTGCTGGTGAATTCACAACTACCTCAGTTCTCTCACTTGGGACACAAGAGTTATCCGCCATACTCAGTCTTATCCCCGTTTTCTTTCTTTAGAGAAGAAGACCAACTGGCACAGGCCTGTTGGTAGACTGAGGGCTTTGGGCTCTTAGAAATGATGGGTGTCCCTGAGTCACTCCTTCTTCAAGTTGCTGTACCCGGGGGAGTGTTCTGGATGATGGTGACACCTGAGGGACCCAAAAGAAAGCCACTGATGAGGCAACTGGAATGTGTTCTGGCACAGCACCCATCAACCTGTACAAGTCATGGCCCCTACAGTGCTGTGAGCTACCTGGGAGGACCTTAAGGCAAGGTTCTTGGCCTTGGAGGTGCCAAGGAGAGGTATGTTTCAGACCACGATCTCTAGGTAGGGATATGAAACTAGTTGTGTTTGTAAACATTGTAGACACTGTGGGGATAGATAAATTATTTCTTGGAGTAGGGGATAGATAGAAAAGGAAAAAAAATGGCCAAGATCCAGTCTAATTATGGGGAAAAAAAGAATAAAAGATTTTTCTTATGTTTTTCTTTTAAAGTAGCATCCAGAATGTTCAAATCTGTCATGTTTATTTTGCTTGGTTTTTTATTCTTGTTTTGGTTTTTGTGATCCTGGGGAGTAAGTGCAGAGCCTCATACAGAGCTTCAAGACTGAGCCAGAGGTATCTCCAGCCTGAAAGTAAAATAACTCCTCATTATTGTTCCTGCCTAGTAGACTAGCTGCCTAGTAGACGTTGGCTGCCTAAAGAAAATGGCAGTGGATGAGAAAGTTAACTTGCCCTTAGACAAGTTACCTAACATCCCTAAGCCTTGGTTTCCTTATTTGGAAAAAAGGAATAAAAATGCCTTGAGGACTGAGGTAAGTATGCCAAGCTTTTAGAATGCCAAAAACAAATGTGTCTTGGTTGCCTAGTTCATGCAAGGCTTAGCAGCAACCACACAATATTGGAATTTATTATGACTCTCACCACCATTACTACTAGCACCATTCCTATCAATCCCGCCATAACCATCACCACCACCATCACCATTATTATCACCAGCATTATCACCACTATCACCACTATCATTACCATCAAAAACATCACCACCACCACCATCATGATCACCTTCACCACCATCAACATCATTGAAACTACCCACTTCTTGAAGCTTTACTTATTAAAATACTATAAAATGGGTTATTTAGCCCTTGGATTCAAACTGTCAAAAAGATCTTCACCCTAGGCTCAGTGACCAGCCCCCCCACCATAAAAACACATCCAGAGGAAGGATCATAATAGCAATGTCAGCAGAAAAAATAAAGAATTCATCAGGACTCCTTTCCTCTCCTCGGTCAACATAAGCTTCAAGTTTGTGGCAAGAATAAATACTGAGCTGTCTGTCCCGAGTCTATCACTTACATGAGCTTGGGCAAGTCCATTTAATGTCCTTAGACCTGGGTTTCCTTCCTCTATAAACAGGCGACCCCATGACAGCATCTATTTCCCTTGCCAACTTCACAGTACTTCCATAAGGATTCCATGAGACATGGTAGCTAATCCTGATATGTGAAGATGTATCATGACAGGTGCCACGAAAACCCTGATGTGCCATCTGAACCCTTGTACTACTCTCCCTTCTTCATTCAGCCATCATTTATTATACAGAAAACTTTTCTCATACCATCCTGTTCCATTTGTGAATCAATGCATGAGAGATGAATGTTCTGCTGAATATAATCAAGCTTTTGTGAGTTCACTATTTACTCTTTATTTTTATTTTTGCCAGACCTGGGGCTTGAACTCAGGGCCTGGATGCTGTCTCTGAGCGTTTTTTGCCCAAGGCTAGCACTCTAACACTTGAGCCACAGTGCCACTTCTGGCCTTTTCGGAATAGTTTATTGGAGATAAGAGCTTTTCCTGCCTGGAGCAGGCTTTGAACCACAATCCTCAGATCATAGCCTCCTGAGTAGCTAGGATTATAGGCATGTATCACCAGCGCCCTACTGTGAGTTCACTTTCTATGTGTCAGTTCTTTATGATCTGTTGGGTTTGGGGAGAATTTGTGGAAGCCATTATTGGTCCTGAAAGCAGAGCCAGCTCATATCTAGTGACCCCCTTTGCCATCCCTACCTCAGAGTCATTAGCAAGGAACATTGTATAGATTTGAGTTTTATTCCCAGGATATCTCATTATGTAAAAGCAAATATTCTAAAATGCAAAAATATCTGAGATCCAAAACACTTCTGTTCCCAAGCATTCCCGATAAGGACTATTCAATCTGTAGTAGGAATGTAAATTAAATAGCAATAAACACATAGCCATTTTTACTTAATCCTAGTACTAGAAAATTGTGAACCCCTGCCGAATGTAGTAAGGATGAGTTGTTGCTCCATAAAGAATAGGGACTTCGTTGTTGTTTGGGGTTTTTTTTTGGAGACAGTGTCCCCTTGTGTACCCCAGGGTGGCTACACAATTTTCTCCTAATTCTCCTGCCTCAGCCTTCTAAATGCTAGTATTACAGGTATGCACCACTCCCCAATGCTAAAATATGTGTGCATTTTTACAAGTATCTAAATGATGTAATGGGCTAATGTTAAGTCTCAGGCCCTCTTGCTGTGTAAGCTACTGGTCACCAGGGGGCCAGGTAAGAGTATTTGGTGGGGCTGGGAAGGTAGCTCAGTGGTAGAGTGCTCACCTAGCATACATGAAGCCCTGGGTTTGATTTCTCAGCACCACAGAAACTGAAAAAGCCTGAAGTGGTGTTGTTGCTCAAGTGGTAGAGTGCTAGCCTTGTACAAAAAGCAGCTCAGGGACAGCACCCAGACCCTGAGTTCAAGCATCAGGACTGGGGAAAAAAAAAAAAAAGAGTGTTTGGTCACATACTGCTTATGGCAGATGAGCTTTCTTCTACAAGCAGCCGGGGAAGAGCTTCCTTCTTCTCCATGCGACACCATGTCACAGGGTTCTCCTGAGATTCTACATATAACTTTACTTTAGAAGCACTAAAGACTGGAGGAGCTGGGCATGGTGATACACACTTATCATCTCAGCACTCCAGAAGCTGAGGCAGCCAGGTGCTGGTGGCTCACACCTGTAATCCTACTCAGGAGGCTGAGAGCTGAGGGTCATCATTCAAAGCCGGTCTGGGCAAAGAAAATCCACGAGACTCTTATCTCCAATAAACCACCAGAAAACCAGAAGAGGCACTGTGGTTTAAGTGGTGGAGTGCTTGCCTTGAGCTGAAGAGCTGAGGGGATGGCACCCGGGCCCAGAGTTCAAGCCCCAGGACCGACCAAAAAAAAAAAAAAAGCTGAGGCAAGAGGCTAGCAATTTTGAAGGCAGCCTGGACTACAGACACAGTGATGAGGCCAGCCTAGACTACATAGCAAGACTCCGATTTAAGAAGAAAAGAAAAAAAAAGTTATAAGGGCTGGAAGGTGGCTCAGTGGTAGAGCACTTGCCTTGCATGCCTGAGGCCCTGGGTTCGATTCCTCAGCACCACATAAGCAAAAGAAAAAAGCCAAAAGTGGCGCTGTGGCTCAAGTGGTAGAGCGCTAGCCTTGAGCTGAAAAGCTGAGGGAGAGAGCCCAGGCACAGAGTTCAGGCCCCACGACCGGAACAACAACAAAAAAGTTATAAAAAGCACTAAAAGTCTTGCACTGACAGCTCATGCCTATAAGCCTAGCTATTCAGGAGGCTGAGATCTGAGAATTGAGAGTCAAGGCCAGCTTGGACTGAAAAGTCCATGAGCCTTTTTTTTTCTCCAATTAATGAGCGAAAAGCTAGAAATGGGAATGTGGTTCAAATGGTAGAGCACCAGCCAGTGAGCAAAAAAGAAGAAAAAGCACAAATCCCTGAGTTCAAACTCCATTATTGACATGCGTGTACATGCACGCGCACACACACACACACACACACAGACACACACATCATCAACGGTGTTGGAGGTAAGGCTCTGGTGGTAGAACAACAATCAATGAGCAACAATATCAGATACCAAGTCTTGGGGTAGGGGGAGGGGATTGACAAAGAGTAAGGGTCACGTTGACTGAGGCAAGTCTCAGTTGTTGATTTACTTCCATGTCTTTATCAATCTATCCATTCTCCCACATACGCATCACTCCGGAGTAGTGGAGCATGTACCTGCCAATGCCCCAGCACATTAAGGGATTCTGGGTAGGTACCTACTTAATTCCTCTCATATTCTTTTTGGCCAGAGATCAAGCAGTGGCTCTCTGCTTCCTGATCCTGTATACATGGTTCCCTTATAGTAACTAGATTGCTTCTGCTAGGTCTTGGATCCAGTCGAGCTTGAGTGGCAACCACCAGAAGGTCACTCCGAGAATTGTTCTGGCTATGAGATCTCTTCAAGAGGAGGAGGGAGGGTATATCCAGCTGTCTCTTCTTGCTAGAGTTGTGACTATAGGAGCAGCACTCCATGGACAGGGAGGGGTTTTCTGGAAAAGCAAAGCCATCAGCATCATCACTTTGTGCTGTTGAACTCATCACAAATTCCCAGAGAGGGCCACCTCCCACAGGGTCTCAAAGGCCTAAAACTGACTGAAGCTCTCAGAACCAGAGTCAGCCATTTGCTCCATTTTTCCAAATAATTTCCCTTCTCTACAGTTGGTACAGACTCAGCTGAATGAGAACCAGAACTCTAGGATTTTGTCCTCTCAGAGTCCTGAAGATGATGGACTATGTCTCCACCATCAGATGGGTCTCTTTGAGGGCAGTGTCTATGTAACCCTCCCTCCTCACTGACTGGGTATCCCCAAAGACTAGGCCTAGTTCTCATGGCTACTTATGCTGGTGATGGTAGTGTTGTGTTTCGGGGTTTTTGTTTTGTCTAGACAGAGTGCTGTATATAATCCATGCTGGCCTCCAACTCATGTTTCTATTTCTCACCCTCCTATGTACAATGCCCCACTGTTATAGTCTCTTTTTTTTGGGGGGGGTGTCCGGTCGTGAGGCCTGAACTCTGGGCCTGGGCGCTGTCCCTCAGCTCTTCAGCTCAAGGCTAGCGCTCTACCACTTGAGCCACAGCGCCACTTCCGGTTTTTTTCTTTTTGCTTATGCGGTGCTGAGGAATTGAACCCAGGGCCTCAGGCATGCAAGGCAAGCACTCTTCCACTGAGCCACCTTCCCAGCCCCTATAGTGTCTTTTTTTTAAGCTGAGGACTGAACTCAGGGTCTCATACTAGCAAGACAAGTGTTCTTCCACTGAGCTAAATTCCCAACCACTGTTTCGTTTTGATGTCAATACTGGGACTTGAACTCAGGGCCTCACACTCTTATTCTTGCTTGGCCTTTCATTCAAGATTAGTTTGCTATTACATGAGACACACCTCCACTTCCAGCTTTTTTTGCTGCTTAATTGGAGATAAGGGTCTCATGGACTTTTCTTCCCTGGCTGACTTCAAACCACCATCAGATATCAGCCTCCTGAGTACTAGAATTACAGGTGTGAGCTACCAGCTCCTGCCCTAGTGTTATCGTTTGAATGTTGAGTTCCCCAATGGTCCATGAAGCTTTAGTTCTCAGTGAAGTGTGGCACCTTTAGGGAATGGTGTCTAATAGGAAGTTCTTATATCTCTAGAAGCATATCCTCTAAGGGGAGTGTGGGACCCTGACACTTTCCTCTTCCTCTTCTGCTTCCTGGCCACCAAGTCAGTGATTTTGCTCTATCACATGCTTCCTGCCACACACACTGAAGGCCTCAAAGCAATGAGCCTGCCCAATCATGAGCCCGAATAAACCTTTTTTCTTTATAAGTTACTAATCTCAGGTATTTTGTCATAAGAATGGAGAGCTGACTAGCACACCTAAGCTTTAGACACATTACTACATACAGCAGCACTCACGTGACCGGCCAGTCAGCTCTGGGTTGCAGTGTGGTGGGAACAAGAGGCTCCCTGTCAGCTGAACCTTGGTCAATATCTCTGACATCAGATGATGATGCCTTTTCATGTTATTCTTTAGCAAAGTCCAGTTTGGGTTCAAACTTCGTGAGAAGCTCTGGGATTTTGTAGGCATAGGTTTCAGTATTTTCTCCTGGATGAAATGCTGAGGGACCTTCTGTTCCTTGCATTTAATGGAGACCACCCTAATCATCTCTGGGCTGTTGCGCTCAGACATGGTAGACAGATTCATGTTTGGTAGAGATTCTGGAGAGACCAACAGCTGGGTGGTGGATTCTACAGGATTTTCTACTGGGGTACTTGGCTGAAAGAGAAAACAGCCTAAAATGAGATTGTAGACCACAAAAAGCTTCTTCTTGTGCTATTCTTTTTTGTTTTGGGCTGGTCATAGAGCTTGAACTCAGGGCCTGAGCTCTGTCTCTGAGCTTTTTTTTGCTCAAGGCTAGTGCTCTACCACTTGAGCAACAGCACTACTTCCAGCTTTTTCTGAGTAGTTTTATAGGAGGTTAGAGTCTCACAGCCTTTTCTGTTCAGGCTGGCTTCAAATCTCAGTCCTTAGATCTCAGGAGGCTGAGATCTCAGCCTCCTGAGATCTAAGGACTGGTCTCCATTAAATGCTAGAATTACAGGCAGCACCCAGCTCTTGTACTATTCTTGAATAAGACAAGCAGAAACTCTAAGTGAAGAGCTGGATTCATCAGGAACAAGAAAGACTGGGCTAGAACATTTTCCTAGCAATGAATCGGCTAAGCACTAGGGCAGAAGATAAATGATGGTAGGGACAGTCTACAGCTTCCTCTAGCAGGCCTCAAAATGAGATTTTCTGGTGGCAGAATCTGGTGGGGGCAGCACACAGAAATGGCACCTGACAAAGGAATGGATAAAAGGAAGAATTAGACTGAAGGTGGCCGAAGGTGAGAAAGTGCCTTTCTTTGCATCCTCTAATGACACTTTTGTGTGTGTGTGCCAGTACTGGGGCTTGAATTCAGGGCCTCGTGTACTCCCTTGGCTTTTTCATTCAAGGCTGGCACTCTACTGTGATCTGAAGATCACAGCCAGCCTGGGCAGAAAAATTCGTGAGACTCTTATTTCCAATTAATCACAGAAAAAGCCAGATTGGTGCTGTAGCTCAAGTGGTAGAGTGCTAGCCTTGAGCAAAAAAGGAAATCCTGGAAAGCACCTGGGCCCAGAGTTCAAGGCCTGGACTGGTAAAAACAAAACAAAAAGCCAGGGGCTGGTTGCTCACGCCTGTAATCCTAGCTACTCAGGAGGCTGAGATCTGAGGATCGCAGTTCAAAGCCAGCCCAGGCAGGAAAGTCTGTGAGACTCTTATCTCTAATTAACCATCAGAAAACTGGAAGTGGCACTGTGGCTCAAATGGTAGAGCACTTGCTTTGAGCTGAAGAGCTTAGGGACAGCACCCAGGCCCAGAGTTCAAGCCCCTACAACTGAACATAAACAACAAAAATAACAACAAAAAAAAAGAAGAAAAAGACTGTTTAGAGAAATAAAATCCAACTCTATAATGAATCACAAAGCATTACGTATCATTCATCATGTCCAGCATCCAAACATAAAACCACTAGATATGTAAAGAAAGTGTAATACACACTTGAGAAAAATAGCCAATAGAAATTGACTCTGAGATGACCCAAATATTGAGCCATTAGGTCATACAAAGATATTAAAGCAAGCATTATAAATATGGTCAAGGATGAGCTGAGAATGTGGTTTAGTGGTAGAGTGCTTGCCTAGCATGCTTGAAGCCCTGATTTCAATTCCTCAGTACCACATAAACAGAAAAGGCTGGGGCTGGGAAGGTGGCTCAGTGGTAGAGTGCTTGCCTTGCATGCATGCCCTGGGTTCGATTCTTCAGCACCACATAAATGGAAAAAGCTGGAAGTGGTGCTGTGGCTCAAGTGGTAGAGCGCTAGCCTTGAGCTGAAGAGCTGAGGGTCAGCGCCCAGGTCCAGAGTTCAGGCCCCACGACTGGCAGACAAACAAACAAACCAACAGAAAAGGCTGGAAGTAGAACTGTGGCTCAAGTAGTAGAGCATTAGCCTTGAGCACATAGAGGTTCAGGGACAGTGCCCAAACCATGAGTTCAAGCCCAGAACTGGCAAAAATAACAAACAAACAAACAAATAAGGTCAAGGAATTAAAAGAATATATGCTGAGAAAATTTTCTTTCTTTAATTTTATTTTTTTTGGTCGGTCATGGGGCTTGAACTGTGGGCCTGGATGCTGTCCCTCAGCTCTTCAGCACAAGGCTAGTACTCTACCACTTGAGCCACAGTACCACTTCCGTTTTCTGGTGGTTTATTGGAGATAAGAGTCTCATGGACTTTTGTGCCCAGGCTGGCTTTAAACCATGATCCTCAGATCTCAGCATCCTGAGTAGCTAGGATTAAACAGTCATGAGCCACCAGCGCCTGGCATATGCTGAGAATTTTTTAAAGTTATGACTAAACCTGGGCACCAGTGGCTCATGTCTCAGGAGGCTGAGATCTGAAGATCACAGTTTGAAGCCAGCATATGCAGGAAAGTCCATAAGACTCTTTTCTTTTTTTCTTTTTCTTTTTTGTCAGTCATGGGGCCTGATCTGGGCCTGAGTGCTATCCCTTAGCTCTTCAGCTCAAGGTGAGCACTCTACCACTTGAGCCACAACACCACTTCTGGTTTTCTGGTGGTTAATTGGAGTCTCATGGACTTTCCTTGACCCTCCACCCCCTGCTGGCTTTGAATGACAATCCTCATATCTCAGCTTCCTGAGTAGCTAGGATTCCAGCCGTGAGCCACCAGCATCCAGCTTCATAAGACTCTTATCTCCAATTAACTACCAAAAAGGCCAGAAGTAGAGCTATGGCTCAAGTGGTAGAGTGTCAACCTTGAGCAAAAAAAAGCTTAGGGACAGGACCCAGGCCCAGAGTTCAAGCTCCATGACCAATAAATAAATAAATAACAATAATAATCATTTTTGATCAGTGAATATGTAGGGCTGGTTATATAAAATTAATATCCAATTTTGTGTCTACATTTATTTATAAGTTTTTTGTTTATTTATTTTGGGGGCTGATCCTGGTTCTGGGGCTTGAATTTAGAGCCTGGGTACAGTCCTTGAGCTTTTTTTTTTCCCCTCAAAGCTGACACTCTACCACAGCTCCACTTCTAGACTTTTAGTGGTTAATTGGAGATAAGAGTCTCACACAGACTTTCTTGCCCAGGCTGGTTTGGGACTGTGATCCTCAGATCTCAGCCTCCTGAGAGGCTAGCTAGGATTATGGGCATGAGCCAACAGTGGCAATTCTTAAAACACCTTGAGGTCAATCTAGTAATTAATTAAATGCAAATCAAAACTATAATGAGCACAGTGTGGTAGTACAAGCTTATAATCTCAACACTTGGAAGGCTGAGGCAGGAGGATCCTAAATTCAAGGCTAGTCTAGGCTAACTATGGGTATTCTGTTTAAACAAACAAATAAGAAAATGAAATATTTCTTTGTTGCTTTGTATGTCCCTCCCCCATGGTATAATCCCTGTTTTCACTGTATTTGATGTTGGTATAATTTGTGAAGGGGAAGGGAAAAAACAAATTGTTTAAATAGGGATACAGGTGGACCCATTGCAACAATGAGATGTACAAGATGTTATGTCGAAAAACAAACTTTACAACTTTGGCTGAGGGAGAGGGGCAGGGGGGCGGGGAGGGGCGTGGATGGGAAGGGATGGGAAGGGGAAACAAAGGAGGAGGCAACAATGCTTGATAAGAAATGTACTCATTACCTTGCTCATGTAATTGTAACCCCTCTGTATGGTATTTTCACAATAAAAAAATGTAATTAAAAAAAAGGAAAACAAAATATTACAATGAGATTTCACCTCATAGCTATTAAGGTGGTTAATTACTGCCCCCCCCACACACACATTAAAAAAAAACCTAGAAAACAAGCATTGACAAGACACAAAATTAGGTATTAGAGAAACTGATCTGGGTTCATGGCTGGAGGCTGAGATTTGTTTGTTTATTTGGAATGGGGAAACTGAGGCTCGGGGAAGGTCAGAGGCTTACTCAAAGGGTTACAGCAAGTGAGAGATAGAGAAGGGACCAGAAAGAAAGACTTTTACAGCTCCTTCCAAAAGCTCAGCCCCACCACTTACCACAGTGTTGTCATATATGTTCATGGTCAAAGACGACTTGGCTTCTGTGATTTTGGAATTGGGTTTACTGAGCTCTATTCCAAAGCAGCTGAGATTTGAACTCCTGAGGTCAGGTACAGAGCTGGAGTGCTTTACAGATTGAGAGTAGTAGGACTCCGGGCCAGCCTCCTTCTTGGGGACTTCCTGGTCAAGGCTACTGTCCATCACATTTTTCTTTACATCTTTGACACTCAATAACAAGTCAGGTGTGCAGGACACTAATGTCAATGGCTGGAAGTGAGGAGACCAAACAGAGCCTGTGGGAACCCAGCATTGTCTACACCCAAATATATCTGCACCCAAGACTAGGTGCAAAGGAGATAATGAAAACAGCTAGTAGTTAAGTCCCTCTAACCTAGGGCTCCTTGACTGGGGTTCCAGGACCCTTCGAGGGTTCTTGAGTGGTTTTAAAGAGTCTTTAACAGCTGGTGCTGGTGGCTCACGCTTGTAATCCTAGTTACTCAGGAGGCTGAGATCTGAGGATCGCGGTTCAAAGCCAGCTGGGGCAGGAAAGGCCGTGAGACTCTTATCTCCAATAAACCACTAGAAAACCAGAAGTGGCGCAGTGGCTCAAGCGGTAGAGTGCTGGCTTTGAGCTGAAGAGCCGAGGGACAGCGCCCAAGCCCAGAGTTCAAGCCCCATGACCGACCCCCCTAAAAAAAGAGCCTTTAATACCTCCCAATTGTTTTTGAAAGGTGTAATGTGAGCCAGGCATGGTGATACATGTTTGTAATCTAGCACTTAGGAGACTGAGGTAGAAGGATCATGAGTTCAAGGCCAGTGTGGATCACAGAGAGATTTTGAGGCCAACCTGGGCTATATAATAAGGCTCTTTTTTTAAAAAAAAAAAAGTATACTGTGTATTTTATATCAAGAGATACCATAGATTTTATCAGATCCTCAAAGGGTCTATGATCTTTAGTAAAGTTAAAACAAAAACCCTGTTTTAATCCTGTCTTTCAGGCAAGTCTTTAAGATAGAGTAGATATACTAAAAAAGCAACTGCATCTTTCCACCGAGCTAGAAGAGAGTACCAGATACAGAAGATGAAAGCCAGAGACTGAGATCATAATAGAAATGGACAGCTGTCCACAGTCTGAGGGCTGGACCAGCCCAGGCAGAGAATCAGGACAGAAGGAGCAGTCTTGGTCAGTCATTCCCCTGTAACGTTCTGAGGGGCTTGCGGTCCAGAAGCAATTCCCCGTCGCCTGCTGGAGTGGGCCTTCCACCCAGAGAGGAGTTGAGGGTCTATGTACACTGGTAGTCTTGGAGCTTGCTCCCTACATAGAATCATGCCCACCTACCTCCCAGCATGGCAAAGGAGGACCAATGAGAGTGCTCTGCTGCCCAGATGGAGGGGTCTTCTGATGGGTGCTGGGCTGTGTGTCCCGGGAACCTCCACCCCCCCCCCCCCCCCCCACCACCTCCTGTGGCCCAGCTCTCTGTGCAGCCCATCAGTGTGTTTGAGCTCGGAGTAGTGGTTTCCGCAGCTGCCCCCCATGCATGGATCCCAGCTGGGGAAGGGTGCTGGGAATGAACGTTCCCCTCCCATCCGGGTTTACTTGTCTGGGGGCTTGGACAATGGTCTTGTATTTCTGTTTCCGTTGCCAGCTCCCTGTTCTTCTGCCTCTTGCTTGCTCGCCTGCAGACTCGCCCTGCAACTCCACCTTCTTCTCTTTCTTATGGAAGGATTTCTTCTCCTTTTTCAGTCTCAGCTCCTCGATCAATTGCCTGCCCATTGGGGACAAATGAGTGTCATGAGCTGTAAGGTAGCCATTCCCCTTGAGGGAAGGAAGAGTAGAAGGATGGTGTGCCCCACTTCCCTGCCCCCACCCATTGTTGGGAATGCATAAGTCACTAAAGGTTAAAGGGCAAAGATGCCAGTCTGGAGAATGGCATCCTCTCCAGGAGAGATGTACATTCCCCATCTCTTCCCTACCTCCCAGTTGGCCAGGCCCTAGCTATGGCAGGTGCCGTGAAGTCTGAATAGGAGGCTAAGGGTATGATCTTTCACATTGGGCCCTCTGAGCAATGGATCCTGGGAGTGGACAAAAAAAGTATTATATAGTGAAATCACTTAGTCTCTGGAGCCAGGGTAGTCCTGATACATCTAACATGTCTTGCTTATGTGTTCCCTCTTCCTGTTCTGTTTCCCTTCCAAAAAATAAGGTGCTTGGCAGGGACTAGACTCAATGGAATGAGGCCCTTCCAGACTCTTTAACCCATGAGGGAGTCCCCAGCTGTCTCATAGAATGGGAGGGGCTATCTGTCCTAGAGAAACAGATGCCCATCTGTTTAAAGACGCTCAGTATCATGGAATCTCCTGATGCATTGTCTTTGTGAGACCAGACCAAGTATTCCCCCAGCAAGATTGAGAACTAAAGCTAGATGTCTGTGGCTCACAGATTACTCAGGCTTAATGCTGAGGAGTGAAATTCAAAGCTAGTCTGGGCAGGAAAATCCAAGAGACTTCTCATCTACAATTAACCACCACCAACAACAACAACAAAAAAACAAAACAGGGGGAGGGGAGGGGAGGCTGGGAAGGTGGCTCAGTGGTAGAGTGCTTGCTTCACATGCATGAGGCCCTGGGTTCAATTCCTCAGCACCACATAAACAGAAAAAGCCAGAAGTGGTGCTGTGGCTCAAGTGGTAAGAGCACTAGCCTTGAGCAAAAGCAGCTTGGGGACAGTGCCCAGGCCCTGAGTTCAAGCCCCATAACCAGCAAAACAAACAACAACAAAAAAAAACTGGAAATAAAGGTGTAGCTGTGTTAGAATGCCAGCTTTGAGTGAAAACGCTAATGGGCAGAGCTCAGGCCCCAAGTTCAGGCAGCGCATGTTTGCGTGCATGCGTGCGTGTGCGCACGCGCACACGCACGCACGCACACACACACACACACACACACAGATTGGGAACTGAGACTCTGCTTGCCTCTTTGACAGGTCAAGCACAATCCCCAGAACACCAATGCCCACCACATCCCAGCAGTCTCCTACCGGGCATACTGCTCCCGAGCCCTGGAGGTTGCAGTGTTCTGGAAGAGGGAGCTATTATCCTGGAAAAACGTCTGATATTTCTCCATATTCTCACAGGGATAAATCAGCCGGAACCCTCCACAGTTTTCCATCTCATATTTCTCAGTTTTCTGTAACCGCATTGCCTGAAACCCCTTGGCTTCCTCCATCCTGTTGGGAAGCAAAACCTGAGGCTGCAGTTAAGTTTTCTTGGAAGGGACATGTCCAGGCTGGGTGTCATCTAGGGCCAGATGGAGGCCTTGTGCATAATAGTGGTCCATCAGTATTGTTAAATAAAAGCAAGAATGTGTCCTTGAAAGATTCTAGCTCTCCTGGGACAGCCAGTGTCACAATGCACTCGGAGCTGGTTAGCTGGAGTCTTTCTAACAGCTCACCAAATTCTCTCCCGTTATAAGTAAAACCCATTTCCCCCTTGGCTTCGTCTGACCAGGCAGACTGTCGCCACCTTCCCATTCACTACTCTTATTACCCTTCTCTGGAGAATGGCAGCTTGGATTTTTGCTAAATTTGAGGCCTTCTTGGATGAGCTTAATGAGCTTTTATGAGCTGGAATGATCTCACTCTTTCTCATGGCCCTCTGGGGAGGTGAAGGTCAGGTGGTGGGGGTACAACAAGTCCCCTTTAGAACAGGGAAACCGAGAGCCACTGAGCTATCTCATGGCCAAGGAATATAGAGGAAGTCCTCAGTGTGCTGGCTGTTCTTGAACGCTGGCAGCCTGCTTCCCAAGTGGAAGGTACCCTGGAATCCAGCAGGCAGACCTGGGGATAACTCTGGGTCCTGAGCAGTCACCAGCAAGGTGACCTTGTGGTGCAACGCAGTAGCTCTTCTGGAATCTTAGTCTCCTTGGCTTCAAGGACAAGAACACACAATACTCCACATTATTCTACCTCTCTCCTACTTGCTTATAAGACACTGGAGAAAGTGCCTGAGAGGCACAGTGCTATCTCAGAATGAGTGCACATCTGGCCCAGGGTTCTGAAGCTCAGTCCCAAAGGATTAGGCCGACAGGGTCTTAGTGGGATCTGCAAAGCAACAAGGGGCATGTGCTTAACCAGGCTCCAAGTCTTCTGATGTAGACTCACTCCATGGCATGAAGGTTCCAGTTCTGCAGCAAATGCTGCTCAGCAGGAAGCAAGTGGGGGCTTGAGCTCCGATCCCTAGACTAAGAACTGACATGGAGCACAACTAACTAATCTTTCTTTCTTTTCCTTTTCCTATTCTCTTTCCTTCTTCCTTCCTTCCTTCTTTTCTTTTCTTTTTTGTTGGTCATGAGGCTTGAACTCTGGGCCTGGGAGCTGTCCCTCAGCTAGCAGGCTAGCGCTCTGCCACTTGAGCCACAGTGCCACTTCCACCTTTTTCTGTTTATGTGGTGCTGAGGTATCAAACCCAGGGCTTCATGCATGTGAGGCAAACACTCTACCACTGAGCCACCTTCCCAGCCCTAACCTTTCTTTTTTAAGAAATCAAAATAATAGAATGGTTTTTAGCTGTGTGCTGGTGACTCAAACCTGTAATCCTAGCCACTCAGGAGGCTGAGATCTGAAGATCCTAGTTCAAAGCCAGCCCTAGCAGACAAATCCAGAGACTCTTATCTCTAACCAGCAAAAAGTCAAAAGTGGAGATGGAGCTCAAGTGGTAGAGCACAAGCCTTGTAAGGATTGGGAATGTAGGGAGAGAGCTAAAAGAAGAGTACAAGGCCCTGGGTTTAAGCCCCAGTACCAGCACAGGAAAAAAAAAAAAAGAAGGGTTTTATGTTTATATTTGTAATTTCTAAATGTGCATATATTAACAAATTCACATCTATTATATATAGTTATACATCTATGATTTAAGCTCCTATTTCTAGACTATTTCTAGTTAAACTGTTCAAACTGCTACAACTGTAAACTCACTTCCCAAATAGGATTCGCATTTATTAGAAATGATCTGCCCCTTCTCACCAACTCTAGAAATTCAATTCAATTCCTTTCTCTCCTTTTTCTCTTCCCTGCTCTCTCTCTCCCCTGCTCTCCCCTGTTCTCTCTCTCTCTCTCTCTCTCTCTCTCTCTCTCCTCTGTCTCTCTCTCTCTCTTTCTCTCTCTCGGAAGTGCTTAGAACTGAACCCAGGGTCTCAAGCTTGCTAGAAAAGTATTTTACTATTGAACTAACACCCCAGCCACCAGTCAAGATTCTTAATAACCTGCAACAAATTATGATGTCAGATACTGGACTAATACTGTCTATGGTTGATCTCAGTGCCCCTAACAATCTTACAGATGATTAGCATTATTTCACAAACGTATCACTGAAGCTCAGAGAGTAACAGAAAGGCCATAGAAATAGTAGCTGGCTGGCTTCTGAGTTAGTTAGTTAGTAGGCCGTATAGGCAGTCTCTAGGAGAACAGGGCAGTCAGAGAAAAAGGCCTCTGGGTTGGGATGGGCCCTTATACCTTATCTCCCGGGAAGGACATTGCTGCAGGAACCTGCCCCGCTGTTTCTCCTCTTCTAAGACTTTCTTTTTGTCACAGCTTCCCAGGTTGATCAGGACCAAGGTGTCATACAGCAAACTGTCTTTTACCTCTCTGTCCAACTTGGAGTCAGTGGAGAAGCTTGGAGAATGATTGACCTGTGAGGGCAAGATGGCAGCTGGGGATGGAGCTGTTCAGAGGGGAAGCAGAAATAAGGCCAAGATGCCACGGCTAGGTGCTGTCAATGGCTACCCCCAGGGTGGGTTCTGGCTACCAAGGCAAATGGAAGGGAGCCCAGAGAGGTTCTGGACCACAGCCACAGTGAGGAAAGCAGGAAGTGGAACTCCCTCTAGTGTAAGCAGCTTTTATCACCCGCCCATTTCCCTCTGGAAGCCGCAGAGGTGCCCGCCTGTCTTTGGTTTCCCCCATCTGGCCCGCGTGTGTTCTGTCACGTGCACCGTGCATTCCACAGAGCAGAGAAGGAAGAGCAGGCCAGAAGGACAGGCTTGGGGGGCAGAAAGGAGAAAAGAGGGACACTTTCTGTAGTCTAACGAGGATTGAGGGGGAGACAAAAGGGAAGAGGGACTCATTCCTGCCCACAGACAAATCCATATTGTGCTCAAGTGCTATGTGACATTTCGTAGATTTCCGAAGGCTTGCTTCTAGTGCTCATTCTGCTCCTGTGTTGGGAGCATCAGAGTGGATGAAGGAAAGGTAACTTCCCAGGAGTTCTATCTACAATTCTATCTCCAATCTAATGGGTGAATTGGAAGCTGGGCACTGGTGGCTCACACCTATAATCCTAGCTACCCAAGAGGCTGAGATCTGAGGATCCTGGTTCAAAGCCAGCCTAGGTAAATAAACCTGAGAGAATTTATCTCCAATGAACCAGGGACCACCTGGAAGTGGAGCTTTGGCTCAAGTGGTAGAGCACCAGCCTTGAGTGGAAAAGCTAAAGGATAGTGCCCAGGCCTTGAGTTTAAAGCTCCTAAACACACACACACACACACACACACACACACACACACACACACACACACACATACACAGAGGCACTTGGTACTAACATCTGACATTTGATTGCTCCTTGATATGTGCTAAATAGCTGCTTGAGAGGGCTCCAAATAGAATTCAAATAGGATTCTCTTCCTCCCTCCAAATAGAGAAGAAGAGAGGCAGCCATTCAGGAACTTTCTGTCCTCCGCCCCATGGTGTAAAGCAAGAAACTCAGAGTGGCTTTCCCCACCTCTATAACAAGAGGGACTTCAAACTGAGTAGTCCAGGCCCCTGAGAACCAGGAAGGCTGTCTAGCATTGATCATCACATTAACAATTCAGCTTTGAGCACTCCCTTTTATGGCAGCGCTGACTTTAGAATCATCCTGTGTAAGAGATTCGTGGCACTTTCCAAGTCTGGTTGGATCTCCAGAAGGCACAAGGAAGTCTACAATTCCCAGCTGTCTACCCCCCTCTGGTGGCCACTTCTCAAATGAAAAATGAAGTCCTGCCCAAGCAGCAAAGCTGCAAGGAAGGATGGCAGGGGAACTTGCTCAAAGCAATCCAGATGAGCTAGGAGCCATTTTCACCTCTCACCTCCAAATTTCCCTACCTCGAGTAGCCAGGGTTTGAGTTTGCGATCCAACAAGATGTCAAAGCCCAGGATTTCAAAGCAGGCACTGTTGAGCGTGTGGCTAGGGAAGCAGCTATGGTAGTTATGCTTGATGACAGGCTGAGCTGAGATGAGTGTCTTAATGATGACGTCTTCAATAGATTTCCATATCTGCTCCACATCATAGCCTTTGTTCTTCATGTACATGTTGAAGGTAGAGAGTTTCCTAGAAGTGAACCACAGGCTATAAAGCACAGCAGCTGCTCCTGGCCAGCTGAGGCCATGGTGAAAACTGGAAACTTCTGGAGCTGATAAGGCACTAGAGCCAGTGAAGATGAACACCTAGGAGCCAGGGTAACACTGCTCAGTCTTTAGAACCCTGGAGTAGGAGGGTACTGGTATACAATCACATAAAACATGGCCTGAGCACTTTCTAGAAATAACCTGTGGGCTAGGAAAGGGACTGGGTATCTGAGTAGAAAGCTCAATGGATGAATAAAACAGAAGCAAAAGCAAACACATCCTTATATCATTGAGATAGTCGTTTGAAACTAGCCCTAGACAGACAAGTCTGACTCTTACCACTAATTAATAGCAAAGATCCAGAACTAGAAGTGTGACTCAAGTGGTAGAGCACCAGCTGTGAGTAAAATAAGCCAAATGAAAGCATGAGTCTTGAGTTCAAGCCACGGTAATCACATACATACACACACACAATGGAAATACAATAGTAGGAAATGCAGGAGAATGGAGGAATAAGAGGAGAATGGAGAAGAAAAGGGGCTGGGAATGTGGCTTAGTGGTAGAGGCTTGCTTAGCATGCACGAAACCCTGGGTTCAATTCCTCAGTACCACATGATCAGAAAAAGCCAGAAGTGGCACTGTGGCTCAGGTGGTAGAGTATTAGACTTGAGCAAAAGAAGCTCAGGGACAGCGCCCAGGCCCTAAGTTCAAGCCCCAGGACTGGCACCAAAAAAAAAAAAAAAGACAAGGTAATTCATAAAGTTCCCTAGACCCCAGACCAAGAGGTTAAAAGAGCAGGAAACAAGTTGGCCAGTTGAGCTTTTACTAAGGTTCTGGTGTGCAATCAGAGTTTTCAGGCAATGAGACATCAAGAAACCACTACCTCTGTCATGGGCAGCCTAAGGACTTTGTGGGGAATCCACACACATATGAAGCAATTGGGGATTTTGTTTTTGTACCAGTAATGAGCTTGAATTCAGGCCCTGGGTGCTGTCCCTAAGCTATTTTTCTCAAGCTTGGTGCTCTACCACTTCAGCCACTTCTCTACTTCCAGTTTTATAGTTGTTAGTTGGGAATAAGAGTCTCACAGACGGGCTGGGAAGTTGGCTCAGTGGTAGAATACTTGCCTTGCATGCCTGAGGCCCTGGGTTCGATTCCTCAGCACCACATAAGCAAAAAGAAAAAAGCCGGAAGTGGTGCTGTGGCTCAAGTGGTAGAGCACTAACCTTGAGCTGAAGAGCTGAGGGACATGGGCTGGGAAGGTGGCTCAGTGGTAGAGCGCTTGCCTTGCATGCCTGAGGCCCTGGGTTCAATTCCTCAGCACCATATAAGCAAAAGAAAAAGAAAAAAGCCAGAAGTGGGGCTGTGGCTCAAGTGGTAGAGCACTAACCTTGAGCTGAAGAGCTGAGGGACAGTGCCCAGGCCCAGAGTTCAGGCCCTATGATCAGACCAAAAAAAAAAAAAAAGAGCTGAGGGACAGCGCTCAGGCCCAGAGTTCAGGCCCCACAACTGGACCCCCCCCCAAAAAAAAGAGTCTCACAGACTTTCCCACCCAGGCGAGCTTGGAACCACCATCCTCAAATCTCTGCCTCCTGCAGATGTGAGCCACTAGTGCCCAGGAAAGATAAGAGACCACCTTCATAGTTACTACCTTCTCCACCTGTTACAATGGTTTTTCATAAAAGGATGGATCAAAGTCAATCCTCCCAAGTGGGGAAAAAAAAAAAACTTGTGTTTAATTTGCCAATTAAGAAATACATTTTCCTGAAATAGTTTATACACTTCCCTGACTTTTAACCAACATTACAAAATAGAAGGTAACATTTTCTTGATGACTCAAGGCCCATCACAACGAATACATATTATTGTGTAATTTTGTTATGCCTCATGGCAAGTCAATTCACTTTAGCACCAGCCGTGTGCCAGGCACACTGACAGCTGAAGATGACTGGTGTCTATGCCAGAATCACAGCAACTTTGGGTTTTTCTCTCTCAGTGTCTGGAACACTAGTTTGGACCACAGGAGGTAGGGGTGGGGAGGGCTGACTAGAAATGCACTTGGTCTCATCTGCCAACTTCTGTTGGGGCAGCAAGACAGCATAAGAAGCTGATTGTCTCAGAAGGTACACACCTGTAATCCCAGCAACTTGGGAAACTGAGGCAAGAAGATCTTAAGCTTCAGGCCAGCTTGGGCTACATAGTAAAACAAAGTATCAAGACTGAAAATAAAAGCCAGGTACTGGTAGCTCATGCCTGTAATCCTAGCTACTCAGGAGGCTGAGAACTGAGGATTTCAGTTTGAAGCCAGCCCTAGCAGGAAAGTCCATGAGATTCTTATCTCCAATTAACCAACAGAAAACTCTAAGTGGAGCTGTGGCTCAAAGTGGAAGAGCACTAGCTTTGAGGAAAAGAGCTCAGAGACCGTGCCCAGACCCATGACTGACAAAAAAAACTCTGAAAATAAATAAATAAATAAATATATATATATATATATATAGAGAGAGAGAGAGAGAGAGAGAGAGACTTGGAGGTATACCTCAAGTGGTACAGCACCAGTCTAGCAAGCCCAAAGTCCTGTATTGAAACCACAGTTCTATATTAAAAAAAAAAAAAGAGTAAGAAAGGAGTTAGGTATAGGGGTTGGGGTAGGGAAGGAAGACAGAAAGGAAAGGGGAGAGAAGAGGAAAGGAAAATTCTGCCCTGTAATATGAAAAGCACACTGAAGGCCAGGACACACTATGGTCTAGATGTGCTCCCCCAGTTTATGTTGGAAACAACAGCCCCAGTGGGATCTTCAGGAAGGTTCAGTCCTCATGAATGGATTAATCCATTCAAGCAAGGAAGGGTTATTGTAGGAGTGGCTTTGTTATAAAAGGAAATTCTCTGGCAAACTTGAGAGGAGAGATAGGCAAAAACAGTCATCATGAGTCCCAACACCTTGATGATCCCCTCTCCCTTCCCCATTTTGCTCAATACATTCATACTCCTCAGTCAACCTTTTTTCTTAACATTCCCATGAAAGCCAATTAGGAAATAACATAAATGGAAAAGCTGCTCATGAAGAGACTCATGAATTCCTCATCTCCCCCTCTGGGAGAATCTTAAGGCCAGCTAGCCACACATCATATGACACCAGGACATCGTGACACATCAGTTGAGAATCTGAAATGGAGCAGTACCCCAGGGAACCATAGGCCAAGGAGTCATGGCTGGCCATGTCCTTCTCACGTGGCAGACTAGCAATCAATAAATGTCTGCTGATTTGGAAATGGCAGAAAGGGCAACTGTAACAAGGGTATGTTTTGGTGTGTGTATGTATTCAGCTGGGGAAATGCTTGTGTTTATATCTCCTCCTCCCAGCCTCCTAGGGTTTACGATGTGGCCTCCTTTTAATGATTAACAGCCTAGAGGGCTGAGAGCAAGGAGTACTGTGAGACTGAGAGGCAAAGAAAGTCTTTTGCTGAGACCATATGATCCAAGATGGAAACACTGGCAAAGACTGGAGGGAGAGTAGGTAGAATCCCAGAAAGACAAGCAGAGCTGTTCTCTTACCTCTTGCTTCCAGAGTTACCATCATCAATGAAGTTTGTACTGTGTTTATTAATGGAATAATTAGTAAGATGCATGCAGATATCATCCTGGGAGGGAAAACACACACATACACATATATATAAGACAATGGAGTCAGGCTTCCTGTATCCACTCTGCACCCTCCCCTGGGTTCTAGAGTTTAAAGGGATAGAAAAGAAGGTCTTAGCGTGTACTTAAACAGGGAAAATAGAGGAGGTAAGAAGGGGTATGGTAGGGCCTGGGGTAGAAGCCATTCCAACTCCTCCTGAGATCAGAAGTGCCCTATCTGGCTCAAACTTCAGGAGCCCTGGTGGGGGGTGGGGAGGGGTATCTGAGAATGAGAAGCTAACATGGACACTCACCCACAGTCTTTTCTCTGGGAGGATCTTTGAACTGGGGAGGTCTGGCGATAGAATTGGACAGACCTAGCCTCAAGTCCCAGACTCTCCTCTCCCTAGCAGTGTGACCTTACTCTCTCTGAGTTTTAATATCCTCATCTATAAAATGAGAGTACTAAGTCCTAGCTCTTAGGGTTACTAAGAAAGCTACACAAAAACCCTTCTGGAATCTGGTCCACAGGAAGTACTCAACAATGACAGCCAGATCTACAATGTATGAAGGATTGTGATGTCTAGGATTTGTTGTCATGCTGAAGGGTTAATTGGGGGAGGCAGGGCGTCCCGTTAGCTCACCAGGTTGTCTATGCAGGGATTGGAATAAGATGTGGTAGCAAAGCGAGCCAGTCCTTCATTGTACACAAAAATCCTGAGGGGGTCACAGGACGTCAGCAGCACATAAATCCGTAGGTCAAACTTGAATCCATCAATGATAAAGGGCTAGGGGAGAGGAAAGAAGTCACAAAAGCATCAGAGGAGAAATCCACACATGAAGATCACTAGCTCACGTCTTGTTTGGGTGGTCAGCTCTAACATTGTGGGGGAAACATGTAGGCTTGGAAGTATAGAGAGACTTGGGCTCTGTGACCTAACACAAGTGACCTTAGAAAGAAGTCACCAAACTACACTGTGCCTAGGTTTCCTGATCTGCTGAATGACAACCATTTCAAGAGATCTCTTAGCAACTAAGCAGAGTAACATTAAAAGTCCTTTGATGGAGCTGGGTGCCAATGGCTCATGCCTATAATCTTAGCTACTCAAGAGGCTGAGATCTAAGGACTGAGGTTCAAAGCCAACCTGCAGGAAGGTCCCTGAGATTCTTCTCTCCAATTAGCCACCATAAAACTGAAAGGAGAGCTGGCACTCAAGTAGTAGAGTGCTAACCTTGAGCAAAAAAGCTCAGAGAGCTGGCCTCCGGTGGCTAGCTACTCAGGAGGCTGAAATCTGAGGATCATGGTTCAAAGCCAGCCTGGGCAGGAAAGTCCTTGAGACTCTTTTTTTTTTGGGGGGGGGGTCCGGTCGTGAGGCCTGAACTCTGGGCCTGGGCACTGTCCCTCAGCTCTTCAGCTCAAGGCTAGCGCTCTACCTCTTGAGCCACAAGATCACTTCCGGCTTTTTTCTTTTTGCTTATGTGGTGCTGAGGAATCGAACCCAGGGCCTCATGCATGCAAGGCAAGCGCTCTACCACTGAGCCACCTTCCCAGCCCAAGTCCTTGAGACTCTTATCTCCAGTAAACAATTCAGAAAACCAGAAGTGGCACTGTGGCTCAGTAGAGTCCTAGCTTTGAGCTGAAGAGCTGAGGGACATCGCCCAGGCCCAGAGTTCAAACCCCACAACCGACAAAAAAAAAAAAAAAAAACCCAACTCAGAGACAATACCTAGGCCCTGAGTTCAAGCTCCAAGACTGGAGCTTGAAACCCAAAAACAAACAGTCCTTTGAAAGAAGGATACATGGTCTCCAACCAAGGCTGAAGTACTGTTATGGTTCTCTAAGAGTTCTTCCTGCAATGGTCTCCTAAACACTTTTTTTCCCCCTGAGGAGCCAATGTTTTTCCCTCACCCATACAAGGGTTCCTTCTTTGCTGCACCATTTGCTGCACTGTGACCTGGAGGGAAGCTGATTATCATGATTCCCTCCAGGCCTCCACAAACCAAGGTATTCTCCGAGCTCTCATCTGTTGAAGGAAAGGGGCAGCCCAGTGAGCCAGGACCAGCAGACAAGAATGCAAAGGTGAAGGACACTCTGGCTCAGACAGACATAGCATCACTGGTCACTGCAGTTGGCTCAACTTCGTCCCTACCTCTGCCCGCCACCAACTTCATTTCACATTCTGTCCCTCAGAGCTAGAGTCCCAGGCTACAGTGGGCAATAACTAAATAAATGATCACAATGACAAAGTACCTTTGTAATATAGAGCTGACAGATCATATCTTCCCCTGGTTTGATTTCTTTCACCGTCCGAGTAACGAATATACCTCTCCCTTGGCAGCCTGAATCCGGTTTACAAATATATGTCTTATTTTTTCTTGACCTGCTGTACCTTTGCAAAGCTCCCCAACTGCCAAGCAGGGAGGGAACAAGAGATATCTTTAGTTGATGAGCAATGAGAAAGAAGTCCACCTTTTTACAAAAAAAGACAAACCAAAACACACACACACACACACACAGAAAACAAAAACAAGAAAGAAAAGCTATTTGAAGCCAGGTGCCTGGTGGCTCACACCTGTAATCCTAGCTACTCAGGAAGCTTAGATCTGAGGGTCATGGTTCAAAGCCAACCCAGGCCGGAAAGTCTGGGAGACTCTTATCTCCAATAAACCATCAGAACAACTGGAAGTGGCTCTGTGGCTCAAGTAGTAGAGTGCTAGCCTTGAGCTGAAGAGCTGAGGGACAGCACCCAGGCCCAGAGTTCAAGCCCCACAATCGACAAAAGAAAAAAAAAAAAGAAGAAGAAAAGAAAAGCTATCTGAGGTGACAAATCTGTGGTGTCATCAATAGATGCCCAGTGGCCTAGCAATGGGTGAGTCAGTAGAACTCACACAGTGAAGGTGGGCTCTAGAAGGGATTCTGGCCTAGATTCAAACCCAGGCAAGACCACTACCAGGCTGTGGAGCCCTTTGCAAGGACCTCTCTAAGCCTCCACTTTATCATCTATACAATGTGGGTAATGAAACTCATCTCAGGTAGTGATTAAGTTTTTTGTTTGTTTTGTTTTGTTTGTTGTGCTAGTACTGGGGCCTGAACTCTTAGCTGTCTCTTAGCCTTTCACAAGGCTGGCGCTCTACATTTTGAGCTGTAGCTCTACTTCTGGCTTTTTTTTTCTTTAGATTTGAATTCTTTTTTTTTTCTTTATTGAGATTAAGTGATTACATAAATTTCACAAAATTCACAGTATTGTGAGATAGTGATACTTAAAGTCACAAACACATTTTAGCCTTCACAAGGTGTTTGTCATTATCATGGTCTATAAAGCTTATGGACTCTACAAACTTTGACACTACAGCTATTTTTTCCAAATGTGATATGTACATTTCTTTCTTTTTGCACAGTGTAAGCTGTTCCCTCTTCTTCTCATTCCCTCCCTCCCATTGCTGCCTTTGAGTTGCTTAGTTCACTTTCATCAATGCAACTGATGGGTCCCTCTTGTTGTAGTTTTCCCCCTTTCCCTCTGATTCTGTACCCTCCTCCTAGCTTCCCTCAGATGTGCACATGTATGTACCATATGTGAAGTCAAAAGCATGGAGTCATCTAAAAATGACAGAACAAATTAAGAAGAGGTCCTTTGTTTCCTGAGTCCTGTTTACTTTGTCATATCTTCTTGCATTTTGGATTTAACATCCACATATCAGGGAGACCATGTGCCATTTGTCTCTCTGATCTTGGCTTACCTCACTCAATATGGTTTGTTCTAGTTCCATCCATTTCCCTGAGAATACCATTATTTTGTCCTTTCTAATGGCTGTGTAATATTCCATTGTATATAGGTACCACAACTTTTGGATCCATTCATCTGTAGTGGGGCATCTGGGTTGTTTCCATATTTTGGCTATCGTGAACAGTGCAGCAATGAACATGGAGGTGCATGTGTCCTTGTATCTTGGTTCCTGTTTGTCAGGGTAGATGCCTAGGAGTGGTATGGCTGGGTCACAGGGAGGGTCTATATTTAGCTTTCTGAGCAATCTCCAGACTGCTTCCCAGAGTGGTTGTATTAGTTTACATTCCCACCAGCAGTGCAATAGGGTTCTTCTTTCTCCCCATGTCCACCAGCGTTTGTCATTGGTTGAATTTAGAATATGGGCCATTCTGACAGGGGTAAGGTAGTATCTCAGGGTTGTTTTTATTTGCGTTTCCTTTGTAGCCAGGGATGGCGAACATTTCCTGATTTGTTTCTTTGCCTTTTTTTGGTCGGTTGTGGGGCCTGAACTCTGGGCCTGGGCGCTGTCCCTCAGCTCCTCAGCTCAAGGCTAGCACTCTATCACTTGAGCCACAGCTCTACTTCCAGCTTTTTCTGGTTATGTGGTGCTGAGGAATCAAACCCAGGGCCTCATGCATGCAAGGCAAGCACTCTACCACTGAGCCACCTTCTCAGCCCTCTTTGCCATTTTTATTGCTTCTTCTAAAAAGTCTCTCTTTAGTTTCCTTGCCCATTTAATGATTGCTTTGTTAGATTTGGGAGGGATTAGTTTCTTGATTTCCCAGTAATAATGGATATTAGGCCTTTGATATATTACTGGTAAATATCTTTTCCCAATTGGTTGGCCGTATTTCTAGTTTGGTAGCTATGTCTTTAGCTGTGCAGAAAAAAAAATTTTTTTTGATTGGTCATGGGGGCTTGAACTCTGGGCCTGGGCACTGTCCCTCAGCTCTTCAGCTCAAGGCTAGCACTTCACTACCTGAGCCACAGCACCACCTCTGGTTTTCTGAGTGGTTTATTGGAGATAAGAGTCTCATGGACTTTCCTGCCTGGGCTGGCTTTGAACCTCGATCCTCAGGTCTCAGCCTCCTGAGTAGCTAGGATTACAGGCATAAGCTCCAATGCCCAGCAAAACTTTCTATTTTAAGGCAGTCCTATTTGTTGAGTCTCTCTCCAATTTATTGTGATCCTGGGACTCTGTTCAGGAAGTTCCTGCCTGTGCCTATAAATTCTAGTGTCTCTCCTACTCTGTCCTGCAGCAATTTCAGAGTTTCAGGTTTGATGTTAAGGCCTTTAATCCATTTTGAGTTGATGTTAGTGCATGGTGACAGGCTGAAGTCTCTTTTAGTTTCCTGCAGGTGGCTGCCCAGTTTTCCCAGCACCAAGAGTTGAAAAGGCTGTTTCTTCCACTGTATGTCTTTGGCTCCCTTGTCAAATATCAACTGAGTGTAAGTATGTGATTTTATTTCTGGATCTTCTAATCTATTCCATTGGTCTTCAGGTCTATTTTTGTGCCAATACCAAGCTGTTTTTGTTTTTATAGCTTTATAGTAGTGCTTGAAATCTGGTATCATGATACCTCCTGTGCTGTGTCATTTGCCTAGAATTGCTTTGGCTATTCTAGGTCTTGTTGTTCCATATGAATTTTTGGATTGTTTTCCCTATTTCAGTAGAGAACATCATTGGGATTTGAGTGGGAATTGCATTGAATTTGTATATCATTTCTGGCAGTATGGCCATTTTCCTGCTATTGATTCTATCAATCAACATGGAAGGCCCTTCCATTTCCTGGTATCCTTTTTGATTTCTTTCGTTAGACTTTTGTAGTACATCTTTGATTAGGTTAATTCCTAGGTATTAGATTTGAATTCTTTAATTATCTTTAAATAGTTGTACAAAGGAGTTGTCCTTTTACAAAGCAGTTTATGAATACAATGCATTTTTTTCTTTTTAGCCAGTCGTGGGGCTTGAACTCAGGGCCTGGGTACTGTCCCTGAGCTTTTTCTCTCAAGGATAGCACTCTTCCCTTTTGAGCCACAACTCTACTTCTGATTTTCTGGTCAATTGGAGATAAGAATCTCACAGACTTTCCTACCTGGGCTGGCTTTGAACTACAATCCTCAGATCTCAGCCTTCTGAGTAGGTAGACAATGCATCTTAATCAATGTTACCCCTTTTAACATTCTCACCTCCCCACCCATCTCTTCCCTTACTTTTCTTAATTTTGTAGTATATACAATGAATTATTGACTGTATACTCCCCTGCCTCCTTCTCCTCTTCATTCATTTATCCCTCTTCCCTTCGCCCTACCATGCCTCTTTTAAGTACCTGTTTCCTGGTGCTTCACTTCTGGCTTTTCAGTAGTTAACTGGAGATAAGAATATCATAGACTTTCCTGATGAGCTAGCTTTGAGCCTGGATCTTCAGCTCTCAGCCCCCTAAGTAGCTGAGATTACAGATGTGAGCCACCACTGCCCAGCTGTGTTTAGGTTTCATGACACAATGCATGATGATCCCTGCTCTGTGCCTCAGCAAAGTGGCCATAACCCAGGTAGTTTGGCTTTCTGGATTTGCAGATGGAAGATTTGGAGTTCTGCACCTGACTCAAGCACTGACAAGTGACACGACTTTAGGCAGATCACTCTCTTACTCCCCTATACGCCTCAGAATCTTACCTTGACATCTCCACTTCAGCCAGAGAACAGGAGGGCAAAACACACCTTTGGATGTACTTTGAAGAAACTATATTCACCAGAAAGAAACCAAATTAAAGTGCTAGCCCTCAGGGGGCTGAGGCAGGAGGATCTCAAGTTCATGGCCTCCCTGGGTTGTAAGATAGTAAGATAGTATTGCAAATATATATGTGTGTGTGTGTATGTGTGTGTGTGTGTGTGTGTGTGTATATATATATATATATATATATATATATGAGTACCAGTGACTCATGCCTATAATCCTAGCTACTCAGGAGGCTAAGATCTGAGGATCCTTATTTATTTATTTATTTATTTTTTATGCCGGTCGTGGACCTGAACTCTGGGCCTAGGCACTGTCCCTCAGCTCTTCAGCTCAAGGCGAGTGCTCTACCACTTGAGCCACAGCGCCACTTCCGACTTTTTCTGTTTATGTGGTGCTGAGGAATGGAACCCAGGGCCTCAGGCCTGCAAGGCAAGCACTCTACTACTGAGCCACCTTCCCAGACCTGAGGATCCTTATTTAAAGCCAGCCCAGGCTGGAAAGCCCATGAGACTCTTATTCCAATTAACCACCAGAAAACCAGAAGTGGAACTGTGGCTTAAAGTGGTAGAACACTAGCCTGAGCAGAAAAGCTCAAAGACTGCCAGTCCCTGAGTTCAAGCCCATATGACAGACAAAAAAATTAAACTATATATACATATATATGCATATGTATATGTCTACATAGTTGTAGACATATACATCTAGACATACACATATATGTGTGTCCAAATTAATAGATTAATGTGTCTCAGTCTTGCTATCTTCCTCATTTTGTGTTTTAACTCAAAGGAATCTGGTAACCATGGGAAAAAATCATTTATCCACCATGTTTCTTAGTGGCCAAGAAATCTGGATGGTACATGTATTTCCTGCTAAGTTGCGACTGAGACCTGGAACTTGAGCTCTTGTTTTGTGGAAGTGCTGGGTAGAGAGGGGAGGGTGAGATTCCTCACTGTCTGAGTAGAATTCTGATGGTGACACTTCTTTAATTTTCTCAGCCCTGTCTTGAACACTGGGTTTTACTCAGAACAAGGGGCTCCATCCAGAAACACCCTGTCCCAGGTAAAGAGGCTACCTTAAGCCTTGAACTGCTCTCATCCCTGAGGATGTGGACTCAGGGTGGCAGAAAACGGAGATCAGTGCTGTCACTCTGCCCACAAGATAGGACTTCATAGCATTTCAGTCACAGTTACTTTTGCTTACAGTGTCATATTAACATCAGTGCCTCTGTCCTTTTATTCTAGGATCTAAGTAGGGGGCAGAAACTAAAAATCTCTTTGTCCTAGCTGGGCACTGGTGGCTCATGCCTGTAATCCTAGCTACTCAGGAGGCTGAGATCTGAGGATCACAGTTCAAAGCCAGCCTGTGCAGGGCTGGTGGGCAGGTGGTAGGACCCAGAACATTTTGCATATCAGGAACAGATGACTAAGGCCAGAAACTGGTGGCTAGTACCTCTAATCCTAGCTACTCAGGAGCTGAGGTCTGAGGCTCTCAGTTCAAAGCCAGCCTAGGCAGGAAAGTCTGAGAGATTCTTATCTCCACTTAGCCAGCAAAAGTCCTAAATGGAGCTCGAGTGATGAAAGCTAAAGGACAGTGCCTAAGCCCTGAGTTCAAGGCCCAGTACCAGGGAATGTGTGTGTGTGTGTGTGTGTGTGTGCGCACGCGCACATGCACGCACGCACGCATACACACACACCACACACACACAGGACTAATTATAAATGGGTAAAATTCAACCCAAGAAGGGCAGAGGCTGATGCCATGGGGGGCACAATAGGAATCAAGGCCAGGCAAGCAGCCCATCCTGCCTAACCTGGGTGTTAACTCTCTCTAGAGGCCCCTGGGTCCTTAAAATTTCAGAAAATGCACAGTTAAATGTTTGGAACAAGATCAAAACCAACAGCTTTCAGGGTGAGGACAAAGTCTCATCCCAGCTGCAGATCCAAGTTCCAAGGTAGCCAGCCTATAATTGTCATCACATTTTATAGGCAGTGCTTAGTTTCCTCAACCTTGGACACACCCTTTACCCCCTTCTCTCTTCCTGAACAGTAGCTAGGAAGGGAAAATAGCCAGTCACCTGGGAATCAGGGCAATTGGGTGAGGGGTGACAAGAAAGGAATCACACTCACTCAGCAGGAAGACACCAGGTCCTGGGGAAAAAATGGAATTCCTTAGGGAACATCTTTAACATGCGGCTCATATTCCTGGCCAGCAAATCCTTGCGGCAGATTTCAGTCATCCCAGGGAAGTGATTGATTTTCTGCAATAGAAGCCAGAATTCATGAGCAATGAGAGGAGAGGGGAGCTTCCCTCAGGAGACTGATAAACATGGGGGGGGGCTCACTGGGCAGATGCCACACTTAAAGGGAGGGAAATACCTGGTAACTCTTCATCTCCATCACCCGTTCCAGTGACACTGAATAGTCAGTCCAGTAGATAGTCCAGTCCTCATTTTCACTCCCCTCTCGAAGGCCATACTGCTGAGCAGCCCTGCGCACTGCAGTGGAGTCCAAAGAAGGGTTTGTTAGCCCAAGAAGAGAACATGGGATGGGGGAATGACTTTCTTAGGCATTCCTGGATCAAGAGAGCTGGCTCTTTAGGACTGGCTACCCCATGCAAAGAAAGCAACATGGAAACTGGGCAATGGTGACTCACACCTAAAATCCTAGTTGTTCTGAAGGCTGAAATCTGAGAACTGCAGTTCAAAGCCAGCCTGAGCAGAAAAGTCTATGCGATTCTTATCTCCAACTAACCAGCCAAAAGCCAGAGGTGTGGCTCAACTGGTACAGTGCCAGCCTTGAATAAAAAAAAAAAGTTAATGGACAGTGTCATGGCCCTGAGTTCAAGGCCCAAAGAAAAACATGCTGAGTTGAAAGCTGATGATGAATACAGCCGCTACTCAGTGATTGCCACAAAGGGTTGTCTGGGATGAATGTTTGACTTGTCTTGGCTTCCCCTTGCCAGAAAGTAGGCCTCTCTCTGGCTTTCCTCCAAATACTAAAGCCTCAAATGTTCAGGGAATGTAAACCAATCCTTAATGTTAACCAGAGCCAAGCTAACCAGAGCCAAGCTTAATTAGTGAAGCCAATTGGTGGGAAAAAAAAGAATTAAACAACGCATTTCAAAACCACATACAGGCTATTACATCCCTCTGCCCCTGCTCTGGTTAGTATAACTAGCTGGGAGCTGACTCCAATGCAAACCCAAATGCCTTGAAGGGTCTGGGAAGGAAAAAGTGCCTACGGTAACCAGGAGAGCCCAAAAGCAACACAAGGTATTTCCATTTGAACTCAAAATACAACCACAGTATTATGCTCCGTTGTACAAAGTAAGCCTGTAGATTGGGTTCCTGTCTACAGACTGATAGTTGGTAACCCATGTTCTAAAACAGGACCACAGGCTGCAGGGACAACTGCCTCTTCTACCACCAAATCCCCAAATCACCACAGCCCAGAATTATAGGTATCTGAAGTACACAGCATTATGGTCAAACCCAATCATTGGATTCTTTGGATGAGATTCCCAACTTCCTCAAATAGTTCATGGAGCCCACAGAACCAAGGACTAGGGTTTGGAGATTCCTTCACCCCCTGAGCATATACAAGAGTGACCCCTCCCCTGCCCTTTTTGGGAAGAGATTGATCCTGTGGTAGAATCATTGTATGCAGATGCTCACCACTCTCATACCGGCAGTTGGAAAGATTGATCACCAATCATCTGGAAAAGAGAAAAAGGAAAGCAGCAAGACAGAGGCAGACACACTGGCCAGAACAAGGGGTTGCATTCAGATATACCCTGTCCCAGGTAAAAAGGCTACCCTAAGCCTTGAACTGCTCTCATCCCTGAGGATGTGGACTCAGGGTGGCAAAAAACGGAGATCAGTGCTGTCACTCTGCCCACAAGATAGGACTTCATAGCATTTCAGTCACAGTTACTTTTGCTTATAGTGTCATATTATATCAGTGCCTCTGTCCTTTTATTCTAGAATCCAAGTAGGGGGCAGAAACTAAAAATCTTTTTGTCCTAGCCGGGCACCGGTGGCTCATACCTGTAATCCTAGCTACTCAGGAGGCTGAGATCTGAGGATCACAGTTCATAGCCAGCCTGGGCAGGAAAATCTGTGAGACTCTTATCTCCAATAAATTACCAGAAAACTGGAAGTAGTACTGTAGCTCAAGTGGTAGAGCACTCACCTTGAGCTGAAGAATTCAAGCTCTTCAACTGACCAAAAAAAAAAAAATCTCTTTGTTCAAAATATCATTGCCACCTTCTCCTCATTAAGGGAAGTTGTATTAAGTACATTGATCAGGCTTGACTGGAACAAGGCATAAGGAAATACTAAACAAGAACTGAAATAGGCAAGCTGTAGATAGGTCCTGCATGGTTCTGTTACAGTTAAAGTGGAATAAATTCCTGGGGCAAATAAGCGCTTTTTCCATTTATGCAAGGAAACTTTCTTGCTCCACCCATTCTTTACAAGGTATTCTAAACACAAGTAGAATGAAATTTTATTATACACACTGTTATTATTTAATTCTATATTTTTAATTTTTCATTTTAATGTTTCACTATTTAATTCTATTAAAAAAGACTATTAAAGTGGTTCCTTGTTATGTATACCAAAAATCACATAATTGTGACAGTCTAAGTGCAAAATGTCTTTTTCCCTGGCTTTATCAGCTTGAGCCCCATTCCCTCTGGATCTTTCCTGGTCTAACCAACATGGATTCACATTCCCAACATCTTTCAATCCTAACCTCTTTTTTTTCTTCTTCTTCTTGGATTGCTGCTGGGCATTCTGTAGCCCTTTTTCTATGTCCTCGTTCACAAAAGCCAGATCAGCGATTTCTTTTAGATCTTCTACGGAACTGTCTTCTCTCTCCTCAGAATCTGCCTCTTCTTCACTCTCTGAAGTCAGGCACTGTAGCATCTTCCTGGCTTGGCAGGAGTCCCTGGGGAAATACCAGTCCTCCCTGAAGGGAAGAGCAGAGGGAGATGCAGTTAAATAGATCGACCTGTAGGGGGACCTCCGCCCTTGCTCATGTGGGTAGTGAATCAGGGTTCCAAGACCCGGTTGCAGTTTATAGAATACCACCAAATCTCTACCTGTGGTGCAAGCTCAGGGAGAGAGTAGATTCCATCTTTTGCCATCGACATGACTTTGGGGACCAGGATTTGGCTAACCCTGGCATTGGTTTTTCCCTGCTGGGGTTTTCAGAAGCAAACTGAGATGCTATGCATGGCACCACCAAGTAAACAATCTTATTATTAAAGTCAGTGTCTGGAGACAGCTTCAAAGCTAGGCCCCAAGCCTTCCTAGTTGAGGGATGATGAGTTCCAGAGGGAGCAGTGGAGGTACACAGAGGAGGTGTGTTAACTGTTTCAATGCTCTATTCAACCTCTCACATAGCAATACTGCAATTGCCACTCAGAGAGTAGGAAGCTAACGTAGTTGATTGAATAGTAAGACTCAAGCCCAGGATCAGATTCAATTGTGCAGAGATCCCAACCATGGAAAAGTCTATAACATTTCCTTCACTGTCAACTCCAAATTAAAAACAAGACCAAATCCATATATATATGTGTGTGTGTATACACACACACACACACACACGTATATATATATATATGGAAGTCCAGCAAAGTATTTATTTCCTTGCCCCATTAGATTTCTTTGATATTTGCTCAAATTTTCAAATATTAAAAAAAAATTAGCTATACACTGGTGGCTTATGCTTATAATCCTAGCTACTCAGTAGCTGAGACTTGGAAAATCCCAGTTCAAAGCTAGCCGGAGCAGAAAAGTCTATGAGACTCTACCTCCAATTGACTAGGCCAATGATGGACTGAGGCATGGCTCTAGTGGCAGAGCACCAACTGTGATCAAGAAGCCCTGAGTTCAAGCTCTCATATTGTCCTTCCCCCTACCTCTACCCCCTACCCCCTCCTGGCCTCAGGCTCCTGAGTTCTGGGATTACAGGTGCAGCACAGGTACCCAGCTCAAATGTCAAATAGACTTCAATGTCTCTGCTTCTCAGTAGGGAAGCATAAGTACTCTGACATCATTTTAACCAATTTCATCTGATTATTCCACACCTACTATCATAAGCATCCTTTTTATTTGAAATTAGTTGGATTTATTTCCTTCTAAGTTTGCATATATACATAAATCATGCATCTACTTTATTTAGTTAATTTGCTGGTAACTGGGGCTTGAACTCAGGGCCTGGGTGTTATCCCTGAGTCTCTTTGTGCTCAAGCCACAGTGCCACTTTCATATTTTTCGGAGTAGTTTATTGGAGATAAACTTTTCTGCCAGGGCTGGCTTCGAACCACAATCCTCAGATCCCAGCCTCCTAAGTGGTTCAGATTACAGACATGAGCTGCCAGTGCTCAACTCATATTTTCATTTTAAATCCTTGACTATTTTGCATGGCCTCTACAACATAAAAAATCATTTTAAGGGGCTGGGAAGGTGGCTCAGTGGTAGAGCGCTTGCCTTGCATGCACGAGGCCCTTGGTTCGATTCCTCAGCACCACATAAGCAAAAAGAAAAAAGCCGGAAGTGGCGCTGTGGCTCAAGTGGTAGAGCGCTAGCCTTGAACTGAAGAGCTGAGGGACAGCGCCCAGGCCCAGAGTTCAGGCCCCACGACCGGACCCAAAAAAAAAAAATCATTTTAAATGCAGTATTTGTGTGTATGTGCCAATACTAGGGCTTGAGCACTGTCCCTGAGCTTTTTAGCTCAAGGATAATGTTCTACCTCTTGAGTCACAGCTCTACTTCTGGCTTTTTTATCGTTAATTGGAGATAAGAATCTGATACTTTCCTGCCCAGGATGACTTCAAATCATGATTCCCAAATCTCAGCCTCTTACATAGAATTACAGGGGTAAGCTTAAATTTTTTGCTCAAGGCTGACACTTTACCACTTAAGCCATATGTCCACTCTGGCTTTTTGCTGGTTAATTGAAGGTAAGGGTTTCTTGGGTTGGCTTTGAACAATGATCCTCAGATCTCAGCCTCCTAAGTAACTAGGGTTACAGGTATGAGCCACTGGTACCCAGCAAATGTAATTTTTGGTGTTGCTTTTGAGCCAGTAATGAGGCTTGAACTCAGGGCCTCTTGTTGGCTTTTTTGGACACAGCTGGTATTTACAACTTGAGTCACCCCTCCAGTCTGGCATCTTGCAATAAACCTTGTTGCTATAAAACAACAAAGCACTCTCAACTTATAAAAGTACAGCATATATATATATATATATATATATATGTATATATATATATATATATCACAGTTCCTATATATATATATGAGGTGGCCCATTGGTCTACAGATAAACATCCCTTTATAGTGTTAGTGTCAAAGTTCAAAAGTACCTAGTTGTTAGTTCTGTAGCAAGAATATTCCTGAATTTAACAATTAAACTAATCATTGCCTTATTGATGGATATCTAAGTTGTTTCCACTTTTGAGATGTCTACATATCTTTAAACATATTTTCAAGCTGGGTATGGTATGGTGGTATGAGCCTGTGATCTAGCTACTAGGTAAACTGAGACAGGAGGATTGCTTAAATTCAGAAGTTTGGGGGCCAGCCTCAGCCACAAACCATCCCTCCTTTCTGTGTGTCAGCACAACAGCCTGAACTCAGGGCCTTGTGCTCTCACTTGGCTTTTTCCATTCAAGACCCAGCGCTTTAGAAATTGTACCATACCTGCACTTCTAGTGCTTTGCTATTTAATTGAAGATAAGTCTCGCAGACTTTTCTGCCTGAGTTGGCTTCAAACAAGATCTTCAGAGCTCAGCTTCCTGAGTAGCACCTAGCTCATACCCCATCTGTTTACTAGAAAACATACTCCCCAACATACACACACACACACACACACACACACACTGGGGTTTGAACTTAGGACTTCATGCTTGCTAGGCAACTGCTCTTACTGCTTGAGTCTCCAGCCCCCCACATATTCCATGTTTACAGGTTTTGTTAGTGTTTTACTTCTTTGGGATTCTTTCTGTAATAGCCAGAGAATATAGGGCAAATGAATTCAAAAATTATACAGCTTTTGGGGGAGAAGGGAGAGGGGTCCTGGGCTCAAGGCTAGCACTCTACCACTAGACCTACAGCACAACTTCTGGCTTTCTCTGTGATTAATTGGAGATAAGGGTCTCATGGACTTTCCTACCTGGGCTGGCTTTGAACTGCAATCCTCAGATCTCAGCCTCTTGGGCAGCTAGGATTATAGACGTGAGCCACCGGTGCCCAGCTACAGAAATCCCAGAAGGATTTCAACAATTTGGACAACTTCCAGTAACAGGCAACTGCAACAGGCTCATCTGAGCTTCACCATCTCTTGGGAATCACCTCCTCTTGGTACCCAAACTTGTTAATGCTACACATCTATACTTCATGACCATGTCTTTAACATTACTGCACCCTTCCATTTTGAACTGTCCTTTTCCCAAACATAATATGATGGTAGTGTTTAGGTTCTCACTATGAATTATTTAATAATAAGCCCTTACATAGGATAGTTGCTTGCAAAGAATTTTCATACACATACCCTCATTGAATGCTCCCAATCAACAACCACTGGGGGGAGAGAGCAGAATTATTACACTGGCCACAGATTATACCCAAGTCTCTTTATGGTGATACAGAGCAGAAGAAGAAAGATCAGGGAAATGGATGGATAAAACCTTGGCCCTGGGAATCAATATTCCCCAGGCATGTCCCTGGCAAAGTTCAAGAAACTATGGAACATGAAATCTTGACCTTGGCCTATTCTGTTTCCTTGCAGTTAAAGGAAAACCCCAACCCCTCCACAATGCTTCCTGTTTACCCAGCCCTCCTAGAGGAGTGGCTCGTTGACATAAAGGTTAATGTTAACTTGGGGAGAAACTGACACAATTCCACCTCTAGAGTTGTGGGTTGTCTTTGCCCTTTTCTGAGTCCTTGTGCAAATGGTAAGAACAAGTCATGGCTGCTTATATTCGTGTTCCTCAAAAAGAAAATAAGCATTTGAGAGGCCGAGGCAGGAGGATGGTTAGTCTAAGGCCAGTCTAAGCTAGCTAGTAAGGCCCAATCTCAAAACAAACAAAAAGTCAAAGGGCCAAGCACCAGTGGCTCATGTCTGTAATCCCAGCTAGTCAGGAGACTGAGATCTGAGGCTCAAGGTTCAAAGACAGCTTGGACAGGAAGTCTGTGACTATTATCTCCAATTAACCACCAAAAGCCAGAAGTGGAACTGTGACTTAAGTGGTAGAGCACAAGCCTTGAGTGAAAAAGCTCAGGGACAGTGCCCAGGTCCTGTGTTCAAGCCCCAACACTGGCACCAAAAGGAAAAAAAAAAGGTCAAGCTAGCATTACTAGCAGCTCAAAGTCAGCCTGGGCAGCCTATGAGACTCTTATTTCCAATTAATCAGCAAAAAGCCAAAACTGGAAGTATAGAGTACCAGGCCCTTGGTTCAAGCCCCAGTACTGGCATATACACAAAAAGTCAAATTCTGTCTGCTCTTATCTGAATGGGTAACTGGCTAACTATGGTTTTCTAGCCTACCCTCTCCTATATTCTTGACTACATGGATGATACTATGATGGTAGACAATATCCCTTGCCAACTTTGGCTGTCATTTATTCTCTGGTTTTCTTTTTCCCCAGCCTCTGCTTTGTGTTTAATCCCCAGGGCTGAATGCTGCTGGCTTAGCTCCAAAGGCTCCTGGAAGAGAATATTTTGTTCAAAGGTTGCCTGCCAGGGATTGGCATGATGAGTGCTGGCCCACAGTACTGAGTTGTTATCACTAATGTTGCTCAATAGAAGTAGTTGCCATTAACTAGAAAACTCGTAAAAACCCAGATTCTTATTTCTTGTAGAAAAGTAGGCCTCCATTCCTTCGTGCTAGCTTTAACATTTCCCCTCACATTCCCTTTGGTCACCCTGACATAGCAGCAAATGTGTAC